TTTATTTATTTTATAACCCTCCCATTAATTTTCACATCGCAATTAAACTGCGCGTAAAGACAGTAAAAAAGCCAGTGGTGACCTGATGGCGAATGCGCGTGATTGACGCAAGCAAGCAAAAACAAAACGAGTTTGGTTACCTTCCATGTCAATAGGAGAACGGAAAAGTTGAAACTCTTGTGTTGACTATGTTTCTTTTTCACGGAAAAAATCGGAGGACAAATATCGACGCGGACGGGGGTTATTGCGTAATAACTGTCCTGTGATTTTGCACCACGTGACGTAAAGTAACCAATAAAATCGCGCCAAAATTAATGGGTGGGTTATAATACCCCCTAACATTCTGTCCAGTTTGTGGTACCCATTTGTAGTTGTGAGTGGAGAGAAGCACTATGAGGGCAAAGGGAAGGTAGGGTGTCTTGACCAACAACACACCACAATTACTCGGCCAGGGTACTACTCCCTCTTTCCCAGAGTTATCTCACAGCGCAAGTCAACTCCTCGCCATGATACGCATGCTCGCTTAGGCTCGAACCCAGACTCTTCAATCCGGGGTCTAGCGCGCGAAACGTGACGTGAACATAAAGGATTCGTAAACAACATAAAAATTTTGTCAACTCACATGTAGAGCTGTAGCTGTGTCCACTCGCACCCCAGGCGAGTTCAGCAGTATTCGCACAACACCCACGTGACCAGATTGTGCCGCCAAATGGAGTGGGGTGAAACAGTACTGGGAGACAAAATAAGAGTACAATTAGACTGAAGTAGTAAACGCCTTTGATCACAGTCAGGGATCAGTGAGACAGAACTACAGGCGGTTCCTTTCCCATCACCCTCTGTGATCAATGGCGTTTGTGTCAGTTTAATGATTGTCATGTCTAGGCTTGTAGAAGGGGGTAAGTTTCTAAAGAAACTGTGGTGCTGCGTCGGTGGCCACCATAAGGAGTTTAAAAGCTTACGTTTCGAGCGTTAGCGCTACGTCATTCGCTCTGACGAAATGCTAATGCTCGAAACGTCAGCTTTTAAACTCCGTACGTTGACCAATTTACAATATCAACTCAGTTGATAAAACCAAATAACCTTGTTACCTCCAACGACGTAGCACCACAGTTTCTTTAGAAACTTAATCCCTTCTACAAGGCTAGACATGACAATCGTTAAACTGACACAAACGCCTTTGATCACAGAGGGTGATCGGAAAGGAACCGCTTCAAGGCAATCTACAAAAGCATGCTGTCAGTACTAAAAGTGGTTTGAAATCACGTTGCGGTGAATCCTTGTAGACTCAACTTGACAAGCCTGTTAGGAATTTTATTCTTTTTACCGTAGTCTTTGGCAATTCTTGTATCAGATTGACTTGTCAATTATAAATATTTCACATCAACAACTTCATCAGATTGCTTTCCTAACTTCGTCATCAAATCCGTGCTTTTATACTCTAATAATCATCTATGGCGATGGCGAATGCCCTTGACTCTCGCATAACTATAGAATGACCAAACACAGTGCAAGAAAACTTTGACCTAACTATTTTCATTCAACTGATCAGTTTCTTTGAAATTTCTCATTACATCAATCGCTTCAACAAAACTTAGAATAATGTTACTATTCAATGACTTACATCAGAGCGCGGTCCTTTGTCAACATTGTTCATCATTGCAGGAGACTCGCTTTTGATGGTACCGGAAACTTTCAGCAGCATTTCCCTGACTACTTCAATCTGTCCATACTGGGCAGCTACGTGAAGGGCGGACAAGCCGGTCTGCAAAGTAATGCCAAAAAAATAGGTTCAAGTTAAAAAATTAAAACATAATTCATGCATAATGTTGCATAGGATTTCAAAACTACAGCACCTACTGAACAGAAGCTTGATAATTTTACGCCTGAGAGTGACTAGCACTGGTTAACTTTTCTTATAGTATCACCCCTGAATCGCACATTAAGGTCACAAGAATGAAGAGTAAGATTATATCTTTACCCTGACGCTTGCCATGCTCCAAGGAACCTTCCCGCGCAATACCTCTAAGACGTCCACGTGACCAAACCTTGCTGCAAGATGAAGAACTGTCATCCCATCCTGTCCAAGAAAGAGAAGAATTGAACTGTACTTAAAGGGATTGTCAGACATTTCTTCCATTTAAAGACATATAGTACTCGTTTTGGCCATTGAAAACATTCTTTACGTTTTTGTAACGGTCAATAAACTAAGGAGGTCAACAAAGGGGTTAACTTGCTGTCACCATTAGACTTGGAGATGCATGAAGCTACTTTGCGTTGTTTTAATGCTCTTTTCTCAAACTGCATCAAATCAGATCTACATTTCAAATTACAGTCAGCCTTAAGGCTAGAAATCTCCACTACTGGTTGTTTAGACTATCGTCCTTTAATTTGTGTTAAAGAAAAAAACCCGATAGGGCTTGGTACTTACCGCATCCTCATCACTTGCCGAAGCTCCATGATCTATCAACACTTCTACAACAACTTTATGACCACCGCTGGCCGCAAGCAACAAGGGTGTCGCAAATTTACGCTATGAAGGGACAGAATATAGAGGTGTCAGTGGCCTTTAGAGGGAGAGGACACAGTTCAAGAAACCGGAGAGCTTGGGTTAGATGATAAAATTTTGTTTGACTACAACAGCATTTCATAGGGCATAGCTCTAGTTGCAGTCAATGGAGGGCTTGGGTTCGCCGAGGTTGAGAGAGCAAGCTTTTACTCAAGTTAACCAGCAATTTAAAAATGTTTGGTTTACCTTGTTTCTAGCCGTTGTGATTCCTGACGGATTAAATTTCAAAAGCTCCTTTATCACAGACACACTGCCCTTCATTGCAGCAATGTGCACACAGGTGCTTCCCTCCTGTAAAGCAAGAAAGTGAAAGAAGTGAAAAGCCATTAATGTTTCGGAGTATCGCAAAAAGTAGCTCACTCAACCATCTTGATATGATCTTCTATCTTCTTACCGCGTTCTGTTGCATCATGACTCCAGGTTTGTGATTTAAGAACAGCGTAACCACTTGTGAATGGTCATTTTGAGCAGCGTAGTGAAGAGGCGTTTGACCTTTCTGTGGACAACACACCAAAAAAAATGTCCATAAAAGCTTTCCAGTCGGCTTAATACGTAACGCGAGTTAAAAGGAGTTAAAGCAAATCAGCGAAAAAAAATTAAGTTAGCGCAGCGCGCACGTTTGGAGCGAGGCGAGTTCTTTCCAGTGCGCCTCGCTCCTGACTGGAAAAACTTAGCAAGGTTTTTGAGTGCGCACGACTTTCCTGTGTTCAGCATCTATTATATGAGTTCAAGCGTTGGCGCCAGAAGCAGTTGTTTTATTTCTAAGCAGTTTTATTTCTGGAGTCCATGTATCCAACGTGTTTGATACGTTTTGATATGACTTAAGAGAAATTTACGACAATGGATGGCACTTACGTTGTCTAACGCGCTAATGTCGGCTCTTAATTCCAAAAGATGTTCACAGACTTGTAATCTGCCCTTTTCTGCAGCCAAATGAAGAGCTGTCTTCTTTTCCTATCAAAATAGAGATGTGCTCTGAGTTAGCGGTTCGTTACGAAATATTTTCGAGCAAAATTAGCTTGCTGTTGTAAAGAGACAAGGCTCTCACCAGCGTCAAAGCGTCCACACTAGCTTTGTAAGTAGCGACCAGAAGACCGACTAACTCTTTATGACCGCTCTCTGCCGCCAGGTGAAGTGGAGTGAGTCCCACCTGCAAAACACAAGATACGTCATTTGAACGTTAATGCCGAGTTAAACTTGTCCTGCACCTTTTATAAATCCACTTGATCTTCGCTCTTTCTCTCCCTGAGTAAAGGAAAGATCATGGGGCTTGCAAACACCATAGATAAGAAATCTTTTTCAGTAGTAAAACGATTATGAATTTCAAAAGTAATGAGTCCTCTGTGGAGGTCAAGGTGCTCTGGGAGGTGCTTTACGCTTGTGTGGGGATGCACTAGGTTGAAAGTTGGGCATTAGCATTCCAGTGATTTTTTAAGTTGGTGAGCTTAGGCGAGAGTCTATCCGTTAAACGTCCTTTGAGTGGATGAATACCCACACGTAAGTCACTGTCACGACAAACCCACTGGAGCTACTTCCTTAGTACTGGTAACATTGTTTACAAATCGATGGGTCATGAGAAGGATATGTCACAACAGCTCCTCCCCATCAGCGCTTCATATTACAGTCAAACTAAGTGAAGCGTACCCCCCAAGATTACATTAATGAATTGATCATTTGGATATTGAACCCGCCAGTCGTTTCAAGAATGCAACAATGAATTGATTATTTGAATATTGAACCCGACAGCCGTATCCGTTTTAAAAAGGCGCGGATCATTGTTCAAATTAGAAGTCCATTTCTGAAGTCCAATAAGATTGTTCTATTTGACGAGGAATGCCGAAAATGAACAAACTGTACTGTAAAAACACTGGGAAAACAGTCGATCGCAAATACTAACGAAATGAAAAAAGTCTTGCGATGGCTTCACCCGTAAACTATTTTTTTCGACCATGAATACACACAAGAATTTCTACAAGTTCGTCAAGATGTAAATATGCGAAAAAAGCTCTCGATAACATTCCATTTACAAGATTTACAAGAAGTTCTACACAACACTCGAACTCACTTTCCCCCATGTCTGACGCGGTGTTGAAATAGTTCCGATCCATCATGACGTGTTCGCATAATCCAATCAGAAATGGACTTCTGATTTAAACAATGATTAGCGCCTTTTCAAAACGAATACGGCTATCGGGTTCAATATTCAGATAATCAATCCATTATTGCATTCTTGAAACGGTCAGCGGGTTCCATGTTCAAATATTCAATTCGTTATTGCGCTCCTGAAACGACTAGCGGGTTCAGTATTCAAATAATCAAATCATTAATGTAATCCTAAGGGGTACGCTTCACTTAGTTTGACTGTAAACCTTTGGTATGAACAGAATAATTTACAGGGTGTCTTTGTAACCTCACCTTGCTTTTCGCATTCACATAAGCTTTGTGTTCCAGCAATTCTTTCGCCACTTCAAGATGACCTCGTTCTGCGCAGATGTGTAAAGCAGCTCGTCCCGACTGATAACAGTAAAGAACACAAATAGCAAGCTTAGCGCCTGTTAGAGCAATTTCAACCTGGATGTCAAAAGTAAATAAAGTAAATCTGGGACTGCTTTTTGTTTTGTCCGATCGCGCTCTCTGATTGGTCTTGAAAGAATTACACCATCCTCCCAAACCTAGAACACTTCACGAGCTAGTCACCCGCGTTTTTCTGCAATGAATATGCTTGTTTTTACTTTGTTTATACTTGAAGATGTTTTCCTTTGTTCCGAATGGACTTCTGTTTCTGTTTCACGACAATCAAAAGAAGTTCATTCTGATTTCGCCATAACGCTCATACGGAAAAACCGAGGTTGAAAGATTATTCCACATTGTAAATGTAATAGAGTACCTCATCGAACACATCTACTCTGGCATGGTACTTCAGCAACGTACGCACAACTTCCACGTTTCCTTTGTATGAAGCAACAAGCAGAGGAGAGGAACCACTCTGAAACCAAGGAAACAATCCGTATGGGTCCCGAGAAGTGATAAACTAGATTGACTAAAATAGTGATCAATGATTCTCCAGACAAATACCACAGACGGTTTCAAATAAACAGACTGGAATAATATAGTTACTACTGTATGAAGCGTCATCCTTCTTCCCCCTTTTCCAGAGCAAAAATACGCTGAAGCATTTTCATCGGAGCAAAAAAGAAAGACCCAGTAATTATGAATCACATTCTTCAATTTCGCTATTGAGGCTCATTCTTAATTGATTATGGCGTAAGTTTCTGCGAAACATTTCTGTCAACCTAAGTACGCCACTAAGGGTTTCCTGACGGACTGAGTATTGGCCCAAACCAAAATGAACTAGCCTGTATTTTAACATGGTAGCCAGAAATGAGATCTCAAGACGCGGCTTACCGATGATCTTTTGTTGACCGTGACTTGAAGCTTGGAAGGAGGAATGGACTCTAACAGAGCAATCAATATATCGTTATTTCCTGAGCGTGCGCATTCGTGGATTGGAGTCTCCATGGACTGAAAAAGATTAGAGAAATAAAAGTAACAAATAGAGTCACAGTATGGAAGTGAGGTACGAATGTTCACGAAAATGAGCTTGTGCTTTTGCAAGTGACGCACCAGCTTGTGAGGGGGCAAGTGAAATGCTCATGCGCGTGACTAACCACTACTAGTAATAGCGCATTTTGAACTGTTTTTGATGTGAATGTATCAAACGAATCATGTGCGTGGATATAATTATTTGTTGAGTACTGGGCCTAACATGTTTCGTGGGTGACAAACCAGATCAGTTAATTGACAACAGGAAATGATTTTTGTAATTATGTAGAGTATAAATAAGGAGTAATCTTTTGTGAGAGAGTAACACTGCTTGTGATCGGAGAACGCTGCCTTTACCGTGATATTGCGATTTATTAGAAATAAAACCTTTGAAATTCTACCTATTGCGACCTTGCGCAGATCCTATATCCAGCGGTCAGAGAATCCAGAAAATATTATTCACTAGTTTTCACAGTCACCAGTTGAGTGAGCAGACGCCTCGTTTTCCAGTAAATGAATATAAGCCCACCTGATGCGTGACTGCTGTGCAATCGGCACCGTGTTCAAGAAGCAATTTAACGATCACTATGTCAGCGTTCCCTTTGACTTTGGCTTTGTATAACTGAGCCGTGTAATGCAGAGGAGTCTCNTAACTGCCTCTCTTGGTGTTCAGCTAATAGTTCTGCTAGCTCAGTATTATCACTATATTTTCTTGTCACATGTTTTTGTCTTGTCTTTAATGTGCCACTATGAGCTGCTTGGTTTTTTTCTGGATGTCTATGAACTTCAACATGATCTGTGTTTGAAACTGGAAACAAACCAAAACAATTCTAAAGATTTATTTTCCCCTAAATAAGATTTTAAACATAGATAGTTGAAGTTAACCATAGTTACCTTATCTAGAAACATTTTGTTTGTCTATGTGCTCAAGATCATACTTAAAATATGTTTATTATGTTTATTTTACTGTCACTGGTTGACCTCTAAGAGTGACCAGCCTCTAATTTCTCCTTACAATATCACCATTGAATCAAACATTAAGGTCATGAGAATAAAGAGAATAATCACAACTACAGAAATTATTTTTTATCAAACAAATTCTCCTTGTCAGCACCTTGGGAAATGTATAGACAACAGTATGGAGAATATGCATGCTGATGTCAGAATGTGAAGAGTTAAGCAGTTTCTCACAAAATTTTATTCCATGCACCCTATGAAACCCAAATGTTCAATGTATGACCAGAAGTTTTTCTTGCAAATATTCTTACAATGTTATGTTACACATATTTCTAGCTATTTCAAATGTACCATATCTCTGCAATCATATATGTCTATATAAAAAAACAATTTATAATAATGCCATACATACTGTTTTTACAATTAAATATATCTTATTAACCAAGCGCGAGGGCCGTACTGGGAGAATATCGGCCCGAGGTCTTGACAGTACGGACCGAGCGCAGCGAGGTCCGTACAAAAAAGACCGAGGGCCGATATTCTTCCAGTACGGTCCCGAGCAAGCTTGGTTAATAAGAGATTTATTACACGACTGAAATTCAAAGGGACACAAGTGCGGTATCATTCGGGACCATTCGGGACAGTGCCCGGTCCAATACTGAGAGAATATTGACCGGCAATAGAGCATTTTGATTGGTTGATTTTAGTTATTGGCCACTGACTTCCCGAGTCGTGTATAATTAACTATAATGATTTGAGCTTCTGAACAGAGATATAATGCAGATATGTCTCCACTCAGTGGTATTTGGGGAGTGGTCATCTAACCTATCTATCTATCTATCTATCTATCTATCTATCTATCTATCTATCTATCTATCTATCTATCTATCTATTTATCTATCTATCTATTTGGATCTCCCTCAACGGTGCGACTCGACTGAAAGGGCCTCTCTTCCCTTTTAAGCTAGAAAACGTCGACTTTTTCTGTTACTCACATCAGTTGGCATATTGATAACAAGTTTTGCTACAGCCTTGGACTTCATTTGGAATAAGACTCGAATCAATTCTTCCAGCACCAAGTGATGTCCTGCCCGGATGGCGTGATGGAGGGCCGATTCGCCATTCTGACGTCAAAACAAACATGTATGCTTTGTTTGTAATAACCCTTTTATCCTTCAGGCCCCGGTTGTTCGAAGGATGGATAATGCTATACACTGGATAAATCTCTACCCGGTGGATAGCGCAGTACGTTTTGGTAACACTTATCCGCTGGATAGCGATTTATCCGTTGGATAGTGTTATCCGCCCTTTGAACAACTGGAGCCAGATGTGATTAGAATGTAACTTTCCCTTACAAGATAAAAGCAATAACTAGCAAAGGGGTAATGAGAAACTTGACCAAACATCAGATTTTCTCAATGAATTTACGAATGAGCGTGATGGTTAAAGAAGCTATCTTAAACTTTCTTAATCAGTGATTAGTGATCATAAAGAGCGCGATAGAGCTAATCCTGGAATATGGTGGGTTTTTTTTGTCACCTTTCAAGCTAAACTCACTGTTCAGATTTTTTTCTTTCGTCGAACTCTACTAAACATCACCAGCCTGAGGTTGTAAGAGACAGTTACGGTGGCACACAAATTAATGTCGATTCACCTTACATCCTGAGTAACCGTAAATCTTTCCTCGAACAACTCGGCCTACTCGATTTCTCGATCTGATACTTGAAAGTGCATGATTTAGAGCGTAATCTTTTAACGAATTGGTGGTGTTTACCTTCGCTCTCCTCGCAGCATCAGCTTTTTCGTTGATAAGCAGCCTTAATATTTTTAAGTTTCCAAATCTTGCGGCCACATGTACCGCTGTTTCTCCATTCTACGAAAAAACAAAAAAAACAAAACAAAAAAAAAACCACCCTTACTACTAACAACAAACAACAACTGTACTGAGTTCACTGAAAAGAAAACAACATTGAATTCATACAGCTAGGGGTGTCACGGATGGTAAACTCTCATTGCTTGTGAGAGTGGATGAGAGATGCAATCGGTCTGTACGGAAAAATGGGATGCAAGAGAGATGGGCAGGATTCTGTTGATAAAGTTCGAGGGGATTCTCCCCACTCCCCCGCACCTCATTTCCTCCCCGGTCACGCTTCTCCTCTTAACTGAGAATCGTACCACTAGCTGCATCTAAGCATTACCGCAATGTCTGTTATGTTACTTGATGTACCGACACCCTCTCATGTTCGATTGCAAATAGAGGACAATGTTTTGAGGAAGGAAATTAATGTTTGCAACGATCACAAGAGAGAAAGGGAAGNACAAAAAAGACCGAGGGCCGATATTCTTCCAGTACGGTCCCGAGCAAGCTTGGTTAATAAGAGATTTATTATACGACTGAAGTTCAAAGGGACACAAGTGCGGTATCATTCGGGACCATTCGGGACAGTGCCCGGTCCAATACTTAGAGAATATTGGACCGGCCATAGAGCATTTTGATTGGTTGATTTTAGTTATTGGCCCTCTGACTACCCGAGTCGTGTAATAATAACTGTTTCTTACGTCACTCGGTGCATTGACATCCGCTCCACTCTTGATCAGCATCTCTGCTACTTTCTCGCCATCTTTGGTCCGCGCTGCGATATGCAATGGTGTCTCTTCGGCCTACAATAAAAAGCAAGACTAAAGTGCTGTGTTCAATCTAAAAAACAAAAAAAAGAAGCTGACGACTGCTCAAAGGAAAAGTAACTCTGATCTAAAAATGAGGACTTCAAAGCTCATGGAGGAAATCTGATCGCAGGTTTAAGTTGACGAAATTTGCTTCGGTCAAACTAGTACGAGCGGTTCAAACTCACCTTGCCTCCTCTGTGCTGAACGTTGGCCCCGTATCCCAGTAAGATTTGGACAACCTGCGGTTTGCAGTACTTCACCGCAATATGCAAAGCTGTGTACTGATCCTAATTGACAGCAAGTGCAAAAAATCAATCAGGTTCCTTCATCTCAGTAAAGCCTTCCCTGTTTTTTCCGCATATTACAAAGAGACTGACAGTTTGTTGGAAAAAAACCGATTGGGGAATGTTACGCGCAAACCATTAACCGAGCGCGTCTTTTATCCCCTCAAAACAAGCCGTCGTAAACGTGTTCATGTAAATGTACTCTTTATTCTTATTTGAAGTACTGATGTGACATTGGCAGATTTATGGAGAGGGTTCGGGGGGGGGGGGGCTCGGACTTCCCCCCTGGGCCTGGGGCCAGAATTCCTGGAACGACAGCATCGCATGCTTTTTGCTCAAAATGAAGAACTAGATATTTACTTGTTCCGATATAGTTCTTGGCATATCTAGGCTGTGGTGTAGAAATGAAAAAATGTTGTGCCTTCTGAGTCAAAGTTTGTACCACCCCATCCCCATCCCCACCCCCATAGAAAATTTCTGGATTTGCCCCGGTGGCGTCGGCAAAATCAATCTAATCTGAGGGCAAGTTATGGATTCTTACTTTGGTTTTCGTGTCCACGGAGGCGCCCTTTGACAACAGAGCTCTGACGACTGCCACATGACCTTTCCTCGCTGCCGCGTGAAGACAGACTGCACCGTCCTACGCCATGAAAAAAAAAAAAAAGAAAAAAGAAAAAAAAGAAATAGATGAATGGACACTCCTTCAGTTAGCCACCAAACAGACCTATGAATAATGACACCTTTCAAGCTATCCAAAAAAAAAAAGAAATAGATGAATGGACACTCCTTCAGTTAACCACCAAACAGACCTATGAATAATGACACCTTTCAAGCTATCCAAGAGTATTTTCATCAAAATACACTTTGTATCTGTTAGGCTGTACTGATTAGAATGTAACAACTTAGCTGATTTACATTTAGTACCACTAGTATGTATCCACTTAATACAAGTTCCACAGAATAGGGATATTTTAAAAAACAAACAAAAAATGGCATTTTATGCCATAATTGAGCACTTACTCTACAAAACATCACTTTTTAGTACTACCAAGATCGATTTCGGGAGATAAAAATGAATTAAATTTTATTTGAAATATTACACCATTCCGTGCAATAAAATAGGCCTTTGGGACTCGCTTAATACAGGTGAAGATTATAGTAAATAGTGGGAAACAAATTTGGATCTTTGACAACTGATCGCTTAATACAGGGGGTGACCGCTAATTACGGTGCCGCCAAATACAGGTTCGATTGAAGTAGTTTGACGAAACCTCGTTCTGTGACCTGTCAAATGACAATTATAAAGTTAAAAGTGCTATTCTTTTCAAGTCAACATGCTCCAAAGGAACACATTTGTTCACCTTGTTAGGCATGTGGAGGGGCACGCCCTTTTTCAGAAACACCAACGCAGTGTCGGGATGTCCCGCTTGAGCTGCTATATGCATCAGTGTACTGCCATCCTGGAAACAAGCATTGTGAAATTCATAAAAAGTTTGCTTCATCTAGTTTCAGAGTTACAGCTGCAAAGGAAACAGCACCAAAGGGAAGTTTTGAACTTCTCATTTCTTCTAATCACCCATACCTTAGTTCTCAAATTTACATTGGCTTTTAATTTATCCACTAAGAACTCGGCGACCCCTGAGTGACCTCGTTGAGCCGCCAGGTGAAGTGGTGTGCGGTCGTGCTAGCAAATCAGAAAGAAAGTAAAAGTTGTCAGTGGAAAGTGTCCTCTACCTGATGATGCTGAAACGACAACGGGCATGCTAACATGCAAGATATTTTCCTGAGAAATTATTGTGCAAATATCCTTTAATAATCACCACTTTTAGCCAATCAGATGATTGAAAAAGGTGCTTGCACTTTACTGCTGACGAATTAGCGTCGTTGATATGTTTTCCGAGCTACGCATAAGCAGCGGGTTTCCGCACTGATATCAAATTAGATTTTCTTCTTCACTTTTGAACTATTTTCAAACTGTTTTTTTTTAGTCTTGGTTTGAGAACCAATGTTGAGCTTTAGCTCTGCAAAAGCCAATCTATTCGGAAACCCCTTCTTTTTGTGGAACAATTCATGCATTATAACGTAGATATCTATTGAAACGTCAACACAACGTGAACTCACTGAATCAGCGATGTTTGCATCAGCACGAGCTGTTTGGAGAAACTTGATCATTGTTTCGTCTCCTTCGTAGGCAGCGATGTGAAGAGCTGTCTGGCCGTCGGACTGTTAAGGAAACGAGACAAAAAAAGACAAAGCGAAGACACGAAGGAGGAATAGATCAGTTAGGACTCAGCTTCATCAGCCAGAATAGGAAACTGAACAAGAATCTTTTCACTTACGTTTTGGACGTCCACAGGACACCCATATTCGACAAGAATCTTTGCGATATCAATCTCCCTCTTGCGCACAGCAGCATGCAACAACGTGTCTCCGTTAATCTGAAAATCAATTCAATCGAAACCGAAAAAAAGAAAAAGGAAGTGAACTTTGAAGAAATACTTAGGCCTTAGACGGCCCTCTGCCATGTTTTACAGCAAAAAGCCTGAGGTACAGTACTTAAATAGGGTTCTATTTATGCTTGTTCTTTCGTATTTTCTAATTAAAGGAATATGTTAAACAAAGTACTTCTTTTTTTGGATCTAAAATCTGAAAAAATCCTTTCGAAACTGACGATGATGATCAATGATTGATGCGGGCGATACCAAACAATATGAACATCGAGCCAAGCCGCCAAAGTTATTTCGGAAATAGAAGTAACGTCTGATGGTTTGTCGCAACAACCATTTCAATTTTCATATTTTTTTTTCTCTCTTTATTTTTTCCTCAAACTTCTTACCCCTCTGGCAATCTTCACTTGCTGTTCAGCTTGGGAACTGAGTAACTCTTTTACTACCTGTTGATTTCCTGCCATGATCGCGAGGTACACTGGGATTGACCCGCTCTGGAAAAAAATGAAAACATGGAACATTAACAGCTGTGATTCCTTTTGTTTTGGTTTTTCGAAGCAGCATCCAAAGAAACTCAGTAGACTCACCTTATCAAGGAGGAGTTTGGCATCCTTTCCAGAGGCCTTAAGTAGAGTTTTAACAATCTCCAGAGCTCCAGAAGGTCGGCTGCAAGCCATGTGCAGGGGCAGTTGATCCTCTGGCTGAAAAGAAGATCAACAAATCAGTTTACCGCCTCCCGGTTAGCTCAATTGGTTAGAGCGCTGGACTGTTGTGTGGGAGGTCGAGGGTTCGAGCCCCGGCCGGACCAACACTCAGGGTCTTAACTAATTGAGGAGAATGTGCTACCTTTCTATAACATCAAGAAATG